CCAGTGGGAAAATCAGGTGTCACAGTGGGGCATCGGACTGTCCTTAGGCAAGGCAGTTCACCCACAGTAGTATGAAAGTGGTGTGTGTGTGAGTGATGGTGGTGATTGGAGGGGCCGATGGCACAGACCGGCAGCCTCACTTCCGTCACTGCCCCAGGGCAGCAGTGGTTACAATAGTAGCATACCACCACTGGATATTGCGTGACTGAATAATGCTTGGTAAAACATCTTTGAGTGTCCAGAAAAGTGCTATATAAAGCGGATGCATTATTAATGGATGTACCCAACAATTTGATCACCTGCTGCTCTTGACTGGAAGCCCAGTAGCACAAAAAGATAAAATTTCCCTATTATGGACAACAACACTAACAGTATGTGTCTTATTAGAAGAAATGCGAAGATTGACATTTCATAAGAGGACAAACTGAACTTGCAAATCTAAGGCTACTGAGGAAGAACATTGCATTTGCCATCTGAGACTGCCCTTAAGCGACCTCTGTTGTGTAGAACTTAAGTTCTTGGGAAAGAAGATCATCCCAAGTAGTGACCAGGAAGTACATGGTTAAAAAAAAGCAACTCACATTCGAAGGATCCTGTTTGCTGTAAATAGTCCTGCTGAATGAAGAAAGAATATTTTTAGAAATGTGTCTTCATTTATGTCGTACATCATCCATCATGATTATTGTGAGCTAAGTGGTGTGTGAGATGTACCACCCAAACCGGCACATGTTGAAACATTATATTTCAAGCAAAGAATATCATACTTAATAATAAACTAACTTTCAGCAAATTCAGGAGGTGAACAGTCACCTAATGCTTTGTTCAATGCCAACAAATTAGTATTAAACGTACAATTATCAGTTTGGTGTATCTGATTTCTATCCTAGCAGCACCATCAGCCTGTGGGACAGGATGAGATGTCAAACTTAAGTCTTTTGCCGTGGTCAATGTACTGTTTATCAATTCAATGAATCCACTTGAACCTCTCTTGGAAATTAACATTATTTCCAGTTTCTTCAAAGCAAACATGCCTGGATGTTTGGACACCATGGAAGCCAGGGTCACTCTCTGACGTCACTAACCATCTCTGCGGTGATAGACAGGAAGTCCTGTTTACCTGGACGCCTCTGAGGTCACAGGGTTAAGATCGGGTCATGATCTCTGGCGCTGATCTCTCTGTCCTCTCCAGCTGTGCCAGATTAGCTCCGGTAACGGTAACTGTTGCTACTGAAACTCCTGCAAAGTTTCTCTGAGTGGCATTTCCCTTTAGCATTGTCTTGGAGTCACTGAAGTTAGTTTGTATGGATGGCGGACGCTGGATGTGTCCTGCTGTGTCTGGAGTTGTCAGTCACTCACAGTTGCTCTCAGCAGGGCCCCGTGTGCACAAACACGTTCAACACATCAGCCCACACCTGTTTTGCGTTTGAGAGGGCAGAGATCAGGCAAAGATTGATGGTTATCACAGGTCATACATGAGGCAGGAGTATAATGTGTGTCCCAACTGTAGCTCAGAGCACATCACAGCAGGTCTTGGCCTCAGCAGCCGTTTGATGGACGCAACTCATTTAGGTTAGTCCCAGTTGGAGATTATTGCTGAAACTTTGCTATCATCAACTGATAAGAAGTTCTCCCTAGAGGGCGGTGGATAGCTGCACAGAGCACAGTCTTGGTCAATAAACTATCAGTTAAAATGCTCACAATTTCCCCATTGTGGGACAAATAAGATTTTCTTATCTTATCTGAAATAATGAAGGCAATGCTGATGTAAGACAGAGGCATAGAACCCCATAAGCAGCAAAGTGCATTGATTCTTGCCAAAGTAATGGCTTACACTTCTTCATATCACAATGTCCTCCATGGTTCACTTAAAGGTTCCCACTGAGTACACACTAGTTAACCAATAGTTCAGAGTGATTACTGCGATTACTAAACTGCTACTACAACAACCAACTTAATACTGGGGTCCAAATGTATCCAACCATAAGTGAGTTAAGGTTTCAGTATTCTATAACTTGTATTAGCGTGATTCACTGTTTTACAAGTGACATTTCCAGTTAGATCTTGCGTCATCTTGCCATGGTTGGGGCCTGTAAGTCAAGTACAATACTAACTAAACAAAAATATCTCCTTGTTATGCCTAAGTGGGACATTTGCGTGACAGTGGTGCATGGTACCTACTTGGCTGCTTGAGTGTTTCTCTGACAAAGTTATTTCTGAGCCTTGATACAGGAAACACACTCACACATAGCTCTGTAAATAGCCCGACCAGGATGGCCTTTCAGAAGATGAGTGAGAAGTCAGACAGATGAAGTTTCACTGGATGGAGCCAAGACAGAACTCTGTGGGGTGAGGAGAATGATTTGATGATGAGTATAGAGTATAGACGATGGAAATACTGAGATTTTGATGTATTATGATTATTGTAGAAACCATAATACATTATAACCTCTTGAATAATTTGATATGCTCAAAAGTAACACCATAAATTGTTTGGTATTTTGTCTGTAAAAACACAAATGAAGAATATACATTACCAGTCCGGGGTCAGCATGAACAATGGTATTTAAGGATCCTTTTTCTATCAATGAACTATCACAGCAACATTGGAAAAAAACCCTGACTAAGAGACAGTTCTGAAAACACACAATACCATAAGTTAGAAGACACTTTAAAAATTCCCATTTCAAAACCACAGTGTCTCCAAAACATACAGTATTTATTTTGGAATGTGCTACTATGCCTCTGCTCTTTCAAATAAAATAAGTCCAGTACATTGTGCAAGACCTTTACTTTTCTTTTCCTTTCTTTGCTGTCCACCGTTACATCAGTTTTACTACATCATTGCCTAGACCTCTCACTGAGCCCATTAACTGTCTCTAGTGCGCAGTACAGAACAAATTGCTGTCTATTTTTGCCAGAAACGGCCATACATTTTCCTTATTTCTCTTGTTTGTGGTCTGTCTTTCAGAAGACAGGACCTGGGCCCGACTGGTACCATGGCTCTTATCAGCCGACATCCAACTACATCCTATACTTAAAATAGCTGCCTACACAAATTCCTATTCTCATTGTTATAATCCTACCTGGAAGTGTGGGAAGTTATACCTGGACTAACATTTAAATGGGTGTGTTCACATTAGTCCTGATATAGTCTCGATTTGATATTGTTCTATTTCTGATCATCTCCATGGAAACATGAATAGCATAATATAACTATATAGTACCTTAGCTTTCTCCATACTGAACTATGCATACTGCCATTGTGTTATTGGGCGAGACACTTCATCCTGTGCAAATTTGATTGATGGTCAGAGAGTTGTATGTTTTATGTTTTTTGTTTGTTTTTGTTGCAATATTTACCAAAGAAGGACCAAGACATTGCACGACTTTCTGAGCAACTCTAAATGATGACATGCCACCACACCATCACCCCAATAAAGTTGCAGTGACCTGGAGCATTACATCACCACAGTAAGAATACCACGACCCATTTCTATAGGCCTCAGGGGTAGTCTTGTATCCCAGATATACTGTGTTTAAGAGCAGAGGTTACTGTGAGCAGGGGTGAAGCCTGCAGTACCACTCAAAATAAATATTAAGTATAGTAGGAAGCCATCAACTGTACCCTACCACAAAAAGAATCTGTTATGAAATCTTGTACTGTATATATAGGAACAAAACAGAGAAGGAAACTCACACCCCGAGGCATCCTCATCTGCATCTCCACACTTCCTGTTTTCATCTGTACAGGTATCCCTACTGTACAAGCAACAGTCACACACTAAACTGCCAGGACGAGGAGGAAGACAAGCCACTGGGAACCTTTAAACAACGGGACATTTTTAGAAAGGTTCCTCTTGAATGGGGAAACAAAGGGGGGAAGTGAGATGACGTCCCGCAGCGGGGAATCTGGGGGTCAGCGGTGGCACATCTGACACACCTAGAAGGGACAGTCCCAAGCAAAAAGACGTCCACATCCACCTTAATAAACATAGGCAAGATCCTTTGTGCTTGTCTTAAAATAAAGACTTCCTGTATAATGGTATTTAAGAAATAAAACAGCTTTCCACTTTAATAAAGTTGTTTGAGTCTTTATTCAATTTAAAGTTTAGTGAAAGTTGTATATTGTATATATTTGTATATTAATTCTGCATGGTCCTGCATTATAAGCTCAAGTGCTCAGAAAATGTCCTAAAAACTTTCCTAAAACCTCTGTGTAAAATGACTTTCCATTCAAACTGACTCTGTTTCTTAACCCCCTAGAGCACAAACAAACGGCTGGCCTCGTTATGAAGCTGAGACTGTAGTTTTGGCAGATTTCAAATTCTGCCTGAATTATTTGGGGTAAAAGCTGAATCATATCTCATTAAAAATGAGATATGCCTAATTGCAGTGAACAGTTGTAATTAGGCAAAAAGGTCCAGGAGGAATTAATATAAAAGTATTTTCTTTGGATTACAAACTGGTCCAGATTCTTCTCTGAATGGTAAATTTGACTGAAAATAAGTGGATTACAGATTTCTATTAATGTTTAACATGTCTATGAGATTGATAGTCCCCTTTTATCAGAAGATGAACAAACAGAAATTAATTAAGAAAAAGTACAAGGGCCCATGCATGGGCCCTCAGAATGGTTTTAATATCACTTTGAGTTGCATAACAGTGCTGTAACTAGTTTTCAGTTCAAACATGTAACACGTGCTTGCCACATTGACATACTAGGTACCATTCTGATTACTGGAAGTATTTACTAAACAACAGCCAACTTCCTTTTCATCTAAACATAGCCCTGGTGTCCATAAAAGGACAACAATAGTGGACTGTAATTAAGTACAACTGGGAACATAAGGAGACCATAATGAGCCAGACGACACACATTAGTGAACTCTGGCAGCTTCTACAGAGCAATGACATTATCCATGATTCTATAAGAAACTGTATTAAATAACTGTAAAGGTCTTTCTCCTATAACAAGCAAATCCACCATACTGATACTGTAGATGCATTTGAGAGTGACTGCAACATTTTTGTCATCTTTAATAATTGACAATTTTGCACATTAAAAAAAACAAACAAACACTACAATAATATGATAGCTTGCTATATTTTGTTACTAATCTGTGTGTAAATTGGTTGTGATTTGAAAATTGTTAACACTCAATAAAATTAAAACCTGGCCGCTCTCAGCAGTGCCACAGAGTTCACAGAATCTCAATGCTGGATTCATATTTCAATATGCATATCCACAGACTAATTTACTGACTGTCAGACTTGCCCTTTTAAAAGATTTTGGCCTACCTTTTATTTGACACTGGGGATAGTGGAAAAAATATAGTAGAATTTAGGAGAATCGTGCAAAAATGGGGCAACGGATCAGGGCGACCAGTCTGTGTGTAACATGAGAAAAGACACCATGAGTTAGATACAGAGGGACATCTGGAGCAGTTTAGGTCTGTTACACACTGTATAGATGTGCACCAAAGGGGGTACCACCATCAATCCAAACACAAACTCAAACTCAGCTTCTCTATCGCTGTCATGGCACCTGGGGGAACATGTGATGCTGTAGACAGTGTAGACAAGTAGGAAGCTCCCTCATATACTGAAATTAGAAGTCTTTTAAAGTGTTGTATGCTTCTAAGCTAAAAACTGCATGGAGAAACCGCCATCGTCAACAGGAAGCAGTTAAACTGTTTGGGTGAATAATTCACATCAACTGCACTGTACAGCACAGTAAAGCCCAGCACAACAAAGTATTTAACCCTTTATGTGCTGGGTTGCTCAGGATGCTGTGGTGTGAAGGTGTGAATGTAATTAAGCCGCCAAGATTTTTTTGAGAGAAACTTGCTGCATGTACAAAGCTGTGTTTTATTGTTTTGTACAATACACATTTGTTGCCAGATTTATATGAGCAAAATTACATAATTGGGAATAATCTTTCAAATAGATGTAGCCACAGTATTGTTGGATTATATGACAATATTTTTTTCCATGTAACAAATTCAATTTAAGTGATTAACAACACAATTATGAGGCAAGAAACACCGCCTTATAACCAGTGAATTCCATGTACATATTTCTGTCTATAGCTCACTGGGCAAATACGACCTTTGAGTAGTATTCAGTTAGTTGAAAGCCAGCTATATCCACATGTGGAAGGCCCCCTAATCCAATATACTGTAGACTGCTTTGATATTATGATACAGGAGTGGAGTCAGGGAGGTTGTGTAAAATGTAATAATAGTTTTGAATGCAGAGGAGAGATAAGCATCAAAACTTATAACTTTACTTTGATGGAGGCTCAGGATTCATCTCCGTAACATATGAGCTGCCATGAAACACTTGGCCCTCACCTTGACTTGGACTAAAATCAAATTATGTCAAACTCTGAGATCTGAGTATTGATTCTTATTTCTTTCAGTATATATGTTCAAGACTGGTTTCCACACTTATTATTATCTGATCAAATTCTCCAAGAACATAAAAAAAAAAGTATTTGATCTTTGATAGTTTTGGACCTACTTTAAACCTCCTCCATTCAAGGGTGACTGGTCAATCTGTCCCTCTCTGCAGGTACATTTATGATTACACTCAAGTTGAAGTGCAATATGTCCAATATTATTATAAGGCAAGTACAAGACTTTCCACAGTGAGAACCTAACATTGAACACTTGCCAAAACCCAAGGCCATGTTTTGTTTTGTTTTATTAGTTACTTGGGGAAAAATGGCCATGTTATATCCCCTCAATGCCAAGCCTTCAAATAATAAATTAACTTTTATTACTTGTATTTTTGTTAAACAACACAAAACCCTAGTAAGATTAACCAATTTAGCAGTGTAAATATTAATATTATTTTATATTTATGTACTCATTACAAATGAATCTTAGAAGCCATTTTCACTTTATGTGAAAGCAGGTGTAAACAAATAACAAATAACAGCCC